ATAACATTTGTCTGTATACGATCCAAGCTAACGTTATAATTGGATTAAATGTATATTTCGGAGACTGTCTCCAAAATATAACTTTTATATCTGTATTAATTTTGTAAGTTCAATTCATGTATAGATTAGGGACAGTCTCTGAAATAAATTAATCTATCGCGGGCAAATACCTTACACAAATTCATCACGTAAAATGGGTTTCCGTAGGATCTTCTATAAAGATAATTAATAAAAAAATTATGAGTATTGCGGATTGTTTAAATCGAAACCTCTTATAAAAAAATAAATAAATTTGATCGAAGTTTTCAAATTACATAAATTTATAATTCGTACAATTAGCAACACTGTAGTCGCCCATGTGTATCTGATTTTTTTTTATAATTGACCGCAATATTAACAATTCTGTACCGTCATCTTATATACGGTATATAAAATTCTTGACATGAAGATATACTAGTAAAATTTTTATGACGGCACTAATGCCACCTATTGCTGCGTCTGTCGAATTTGAGCAGGCGTCAAAGCATACGTTTAATATATTTTCGAAATGTCCCCTAAACATACATTTAATATAAAGATATTTTGGGGACCGTCCTCAAAGTGTACAAATGTCCCCAAACTATTCGTCCGCTCGAAAATATGTCTCCGAAACATACTTTGTGCATACATATATATATATATATATATATATATATATATATATTCTATCAAACATTGGAATTTCAACTTGCACGAGGACAGAGACACGATCAACGGGACTTACGCACGCAACAGCATATACCTTTTAAGTGACAAGAAAACCAGGAATTTAGTCTTTTGTATAACGGAAACAAAAGAGTCGTGATATTTCGCAATAGAAAATAAAAGGGGTATAAATAATCCATGAATTTTTTTTTTTTTGATGGAGTACTAACTCTAAGAGGCTATTATTTAGCTGATATATATAATGATATAATGATTGATGTGGCAGAACGCCCATGACACGGTCAAAATATACAACCGACCGCGGTATTTTACAGTGGTCACGTAAAACTGACTGTGTGGCAATTTACACAATCAACTAGCCGTGACAAAGGAGATATGCGCCATTACTCAATTAACAAATTTTTCACTCCAAATATTTTGCTTCTTTTATTATTGCAACCTATTATCAAATATTAATGTATGCTGCTGATTGGTATCACATTAATAGGCATACTCAGCAAATCCGGAAAACAGAATTTTTATCCTGATCAATTTTATGCTTAAATTTTAAAACACTCATCTTTATTGAGATTATAATGAGGGACCAGAGATGTGAAATGGATCAAGTATTTGCGTAGTAATATTGAAATGCATTATGTTCAGGTGTATTCGATGTGTCAACATCGACATCCGCATTGAAAAAAAGGTTTCATTGTTTTAACAAAAATAGAGTTACAACCTGTTTTTTCAATGCAGATATTCATAAAAATGTGCTCTTCTATCTAATGAGAAAAATTTTATTCGGATGAAAAAAAAATATCAAAGCTTTTTATTATTGAGTTATTTGTTTATTAAAATAGTTGAATTAAACACAAGAATAATAAAAAAAATTTTTTTTAAATTAGGAAAAGAAATTAACATTCATTTGTTTGAAAAAAATAGCTTTGGAATTTTTACAAAAAAAAAAAACTTTTTCTTGATGATAAAAGTCAGTACGACTTGACAAATAATTTTTTTTATCAATTTAAATAAAAAGAAAAAACGTCCTTATTTCTATGTCGAAATTGAAAAACAAAAAAAAAATAAATTAAGACTATAAGGAAACGAATTTGAGTCATTTCGAAAATATCTCTTATTTATGTCACGAAAAGTACCCTCATAATTTAGACTGTGTGATTATGAGATATTGACAACTTCTCGAGGATTTTTGTTTCTATGCCTAGAGAATTTAGGTAAACTGAACCTTACAACACACTCTCACTCAAAGAGAAATTTCATCGTAGGCCATAATAAATTTGTTAATACTAAAAAAAAAAGAAATCAAAATTTGCAATATAAATAATTTTTTATTTTTTTTCAATATTAAGCTGTAATATCAACAATTTTTTGCATAATAAAGTTGTTATAGTAAATATAAAGTATGCAAATATTAGCTATGTAATGATTCTACATAAGAAAGTATTTAAAATTCTCTATTGAATAGACAATGGATATCAAAAAAGTACAAATAAGTTGACGTAACAAATTTAACAACAATCGTAGAATATTAAATTCAAACTAATCTGAAATTTGCATGTAAAAAGTGATACAACATAAAAAACAAACACGTAAATTACACATAAGATCATGAGTTGTTAACCCATGTTCCTGTAATAATAAAAAAATTAGATACCTGTTATTTCGCAAATTTCGAAATAAATAAATCAGTTAGAATCGTTAGAATTCTAGGAATAAATACTTCTTGACCCCAGAAAGACCTGTACGGTTTACTATTTCCAAATCGTCTTTCATCGCTGTTGCCTTTATACATAAATTCGATTGCTTTCGTTATTTGTTATTAGTTCCTCGCACTGTTTCTCGACTTTAACTTCAACATTAGTTGTTGTCTATTATCAGATAGAATTAACTATCAAAGTATTTCGAGTTTCTAATTAAACCTTGTAAATTATTGTAACTTATGTTGCTTGTAAAGTTCATATTGATTGCAAATAGGCTAATATTATATGTCTATGTTCATTATTTATGTTATTAGTAAATCTTGAACATTTAATGTTTAATGGTTGTTAAACAATTAACTACACTTTCTGATATTTCACGACTTTTCATTGTGATTGCTCCAAAACAAATTTCAAAAGCAAAAGAACATCTTAATTCATGAAGTTAGATCAATAATTATTATTTCATCAAATGATTTAAACGAATATTTAAATAGATTACTGCAAATAAATATTTAGATATAATAAATTGTGGTTTATAGATAATTGGAAAATTTCCAGTTAAACGATTAGCTTTCGATAATAATAGATTACGACAACCTAGAAATGTCATATTATTTTGCATGATTTGCGTCATAGAAGTAATTCTGTTTTTTTTTATACAAAATTACTTCACTGCTGCGTTGAATAATTTAATTATAGGCTTTTATTTACTTCAGAGAGAAGAATTTAATTTTTTCCTCACTCTCTAAGAATGAAAGTATAAGTGCTTATTAATTTTTTAGTGATTTTTGCTGTTGTATTATTTAAAAAATAACTACACTGCAAATCCAAGTGCATTCTTATTACACATCTAAACGTGTAACATATGACGTCACCCATTTGATTAACATTGTAGTCACTTTTAATGTATTTCTGAATGTGTACAAAAGGGCTACAATGCTAATCTCAGAGTGACGTCATAGTTAACACGTTTAGATGTGTAACAAGAATGCACTTGGATTTGCAGTGTACCATGTTATGTGGTTTCTTTCGTAGATTTTTGATTTATTATTCAACCTATGAGATCATATTTTGGTGCTATTTTCCACAATTAGTTTGCATGATTGTTTTATCCTAATTGCATTACTTTCATGTCACTACAAGCTATTTATTTTTATAAAAATACCCCGACAAATTCATTCCACATATCACTGGCGACTACACTGCAAATCCACGATTTTCAAAGTATATTAAAATAACTCACATAAAATGTGTTCGATATTTAATTTTTATAAACAAATTGTAGAATTTAACATACTCTAAAATGAGTACAAAGTGACTACAGAATGCAATAGTTTGTATACAAATTCCAGTGAATTAAAATAATGCACATTAAGTGTATTTAATGTGCATTATTTTAATTCACTGGAATTTGCAGTGTGCAGAGAACGAATTTTTTCACTAATCCTAAATAAAAATGTTTAGTACACTTTTTGAATTCTTGAAGTACAAATTTTTCTATTCACCAGTAAAAATTGAGCTTTCGTAAGTAATCGTTGTATTGCGCATCTTGTCAGTAATTAAATTCACTCCTTATTGACAGTTAAACAGTAATATTTTACATGTAAATTTCAAAATGTCTATTTATCATTTTTTACAATTACGGTTAGTGAAAAAATATTCTCCATCATATTATCAGTCTTCTCCAGTCTTGAAATCGTTTAATACACCTACGTTTTGCATTGAAAAATTTTGATTTGTTAATATTGTAATAACTGTAAAAATGTGTTTTATGATATTTAATTAACTTTCAGAATAAATTTTGAATCAAGTATATACTAGCAATAGTTAACTTAATTCAATTTATTTTAAGTATACACAAGTATATGTCTTTAATTCATCTGAACTTAGTAGGCTACGTATAATCAGCTTTAAGTATGTTAATTTAAGAATGTTGTAATTCTAGTTTTCAATCAACAAAATTACCAATTTTAAATTGAATATTGATGCTTAGAATTTTAATACTATTTAATATTTCTATTGACACATTAATTTTCAAATGCTTTATCAAACTCTCAAAGAATGAATTTGATTCGATTTATTGATATTAATTTTTTAAAGAAGTTTGTTATTAAATATCAAATTGATACTTTTAATTAAATACTTATGAGAATCAAAGACTTATTATATTTGTTTGGTAATTCTGTTTTGGAGTAAATTTATTTCACTTAACCACGCATATGACTGAATAGAAGAACATTTAAGCCATTTTGGTTTCAAAAACTATAATGACGAGTATTTGGATATACAGAAAGATTCTATAGAAGGTTTCTTAGTACCTCCTTGAAAATCCCTAGCGACGTGGCACTTCCTCGCACATTCGCCTTGCCATCAGGTTGATAAAATCTTTTCGTCGAGTGATTTAAGGTTCTTCGAAAGTGCACGGTCGGTAGTGAAAGAGATAAATCAGCAAGTGAATTGATTCTACATCCTTTCTTATTATGCTTCTTCTTTTTCCTCAACATCATTTTAATTCCTTCCCTTACAAAGGTTTCCCGACGCTCATCGTTAACGCTAAATTATTTAAGTAATGTCTTTGATCTTATGATATCTTTGCAGTGGCAACGGCAAATTGGCCAGCTGGGGTGCAATGGTTGGCTTCTTGATCATGATGTCTCTTGACGTCGGACTGGGTTAAAAGTCATTTACCATCAGCCACGCATATCGTTTAACATCCACTTCGTCGACGAAATTCAAGGATTAAGCAGTATTTAAAAAAAAAAAATTTCATTTCCAAGATTGATTAGATCCATGAATCTTTGCTGGAACTGATTCTGAGCAAAGTGCAATTACAGATCGCGTGTTGGTTATTCATTCTGTCTTATGGATTGAAAACATCGACATTTATTGATTGATAAAAGTAGTTAATTAAGAAGAAAGGTTCATCTCTTAAACATTTATAACTAATGAGTCTACGTGATGTATTTCAACCTAAGTCTTTCTCTAGATCCATAGCTAATTTATATGCGTAGCCGCAATTATTTTTATTCATTCACACCGATCAATCTCTCCTTACCAGTTAAACTATATCCTTTAAGTACTAGGAATAGGGTCGCTCTAATATACCCTATGCTCAACTGATATCAATTAATAGCATAACCAATTGCAACTCGATAACTTAATATTTATTTTATTTTAATTTTATCGAGTTTGACTTAATAAATTACACGGTAATGTGACTAAATATCTTCAACAATAATAATATTGGAATTAATTTTTTAAAAATAATCTAGTATTGATATATGTGTATATACTTGTTATAGATTATTGATGATAAAAACAAACGGTGACAATAAAACTAAGATAAAAGTTTTTATGGCACTATTTGACTAAAAATCACTGATTATTTCATCATTCGAAATTTTTTTTTATTAAAATATCTAATAAAAAGTGTACACAATAGACACGAATTTTCTATGTCACAAATAATGTAGGTTTTGAATTCAATTTTAATTTAAATCATAAAATTTTCATGTATATAAATATTAATAAAAAAATTATTTCCTTCAGAATTGCACTTCAGTAAAAAAATAGGTTAACAAATTTGTTGCTAAAAAAGAGCAAGATTTGATATTTTAACAAAAAAAATATTCAAAGTCAAAGATATTTAGACACCACACCAAGCAATCATAATATAGTTCACAGTATTGATACATTTTATAAAATTTATACGCCATTTTATGATTCCTTAAAAACTCTAAATACTAATCGACTTCACATGTATTCACACCTGATCAATTCTATAGCCAATTATAATAAAGTGAAATCACTGAATTGAAATAAATCTATCAACAGTTCCAGATTAATGATATCAACAGAAACATAAATAATTACTTAATAAAAAATAGAGGAAAAAAATGTATAAAATAATATCAAATGTTTGTAAAATACAAGAAAGTGTGTAGTCATGTAAAAATGACACAAATCATATTTTGATACTTGCCACAATCATGACATTGACAAAAAATTTAACATAACAAAAATGCAAATTATATATATTGTTACTAATTGGAGACTACAGTGTATTTTAGTTGAAAATAAGATCGAATGGAAGAGAGTTGTTTAATTTTGTATGATAATAACCAACACAATGTATAGGGTACACATGTAATTAACACATTTGATGTTTATAAAGTGTGAAGAAGAGAATTCTTATGAATCACATAGTTTATATTAAACCAGTGAAGATAATTAAGATTGGAATAATTAAATGACTAATTTATAGACAATTAACTTTCAAGATATCATCGTGATTGACATGGCTCCAATATCAGCTCTACAGAAAATTGTATAGTATGTAAATTCATTTTATGAAACTATATTTCAACTAAAAAAATCAAGATCGAAAGGTAAAGTAACTTGTTGGAGCAAAAAACAGTTTTAATAAAAGTGCCGGACACGTTTATCTAATTTGCAATTGAATGTTCAAACTTGTATGGTTTTTTAATGTAAACAAAAGTAAATAGTGGTATCAAATCATACAGTCAATTTAAATATTTTGGAAACATTGTTGAGTAGATAGGATGGATTTTAAATTTGATTTGATGGAATGTTTTATAATTGAATTTACTTTATTTATTTTCTGATTCTTACACCGAAAGAATATTTTTTTCCAACTTATCCTCTATAAAAAACTTGTTAGATATGGAAAATGTTTGTTAATAAATTATTATGATTAGAATGACTAGAAAAATGATGACATTATATTTTCAGTGTATAGATAGATTCTGATAAGTGTTTGTAAAGTTATACATTTATTGTGGATGGAATTTTAACCTTTTCAAGTCATAGGAACATGTTTAGATTATTTTTAATATGATTTTTTTTCGCAATATTATAACGTAGATAGATTTGAAGTCAATTTATTTAATCAGATTTTCTAATTATTTTAATTCATTTTCTAATATTGTGTTTATTTTGATGAACGAATGATGTAACTGCAATATTGAAAATGTGATGAAGACATCTTAATAAGATTATACTTAATTGTATTGATAGTGAAGTTGGTCAATTTTTTCAATTATTTTAATAAAAGAAAGATTAAATTCTTATGAATTTCATCAGAAACAGTGTTTTTTTTTATCAAAGTATTATTTTATTTAACAGGTTATTATGTTAATGATTGACTCATACCCTTACATCTCCTCAACCCTATAATTTATCCCTATTTGTAACAGAATTGGAGAAAAAAGACAAGAATTTTCCTTTGAATGAATCAAAAAAGTAAAAAAAAACTTTTTATTTTAGTAATAAGTTTTTCCTTGAGTAGAAACCGATCCAATCAAATTGATAAGATCATGATAAGGTTTTTCTTTAGGTTCAACTTAGCAGGGTCAATATGATTGGATTATAAATGAAGCTGAGTAAAAATTTTATTCCTGTAGAAACTGATATTTATTCCATTGGGACAAAATGAGATAATTTAAATACTCATCTAATTAGGAAATGGTTATTAGTTCCTGAACAACCCTTAAGAAGATACTTTCTTTCATTCATTCATAAATATCAAATGCAAATTATTATACAATAATTATGAAGAACTTTTTCAAAGAAAAATTATTTCCACCAACCTATTCAACACTGAATACTGAAAAAAAATTCAAATAAATATTAACAATCATTTCAATCTGAATTTATTTCAAAATAATAATTGTACTGATAGCAATTGTGATTTATAAAAAGTAATGTTTATTATTTTTTTCTGAAATATGTTGAAAAATAACACAGAATCAATATGAAATATTCTTTTTCAGCAAGAGTATAGGTAAAACTTAATTAAATTCCTAAGTCAGCTCCAACCCATGGCATTGAGGCTCGACCAGATCTACTTCTCAGATCTCAATAACCAAGAAATGCCTGATCGGCTTTGGGCTGGGGTTCTGGAGCAATTTCTACTTGGGAAGTAAAGAATAGAGAAAGCTTTAGGATAGCAAGTGAGTGAGAGAGGAATTGCACGTATGTGAAAGAAGAGAGTAATGGTTTTGCCTAAGGGATGTAGAGACGTTAGTGGGGTGGGGTGTATCGAAAAGTCTACTGAGTCAACGAGCCTGGTGCTGCAAGCAGTCTTCCAATGCACTTGGACTTGATCGTTCCGTCACGTGCTTATGTTCTTATTCCTTTTTCTGTGGTATGTGCTGTGCGGGGGCAGCGATCACCAGTAATCACAGTGATTGTAGAGCAGTCCTGGTGTATATATATATCGAATGACGAGAGGGGTTCAGATGCTTCTATACACCAACGTGAACAAGAAATCTAGAAGTTCCCTGTTGTTACTAAACACGTCACGATTTTGACCCCAGGGTAAATTATCTTTTTTTCTTACATTTAAATAGTATCACCAGGTGTAACTATATGGCAACTCGAGTGCAAATCCTCTGGAATTAAGGAGTGAATTTATTTGAGTCGATTAGAACTCTTGATACGTATGTACACCTCTCGGTTCTTCTTGCATTGGATTAGTGGCCTTACGTCACCTTCGGTGCATCGACATCTGCGCGAGTCGTTTTATTTAGAGGTACTGAGTGAGAAAGACCAGCTGAGAGAGAAAGATAGATCCTCAAAGAGAAAGACAAAAGGATAAGTTAAGAGAGTGTTTTACTAGAAGAGAATGTTTGTGGCTTGTGCCAACATTGACTCCACCCCTAGACCACACTGTTTCGTCTCTTGTTTTTTTTTCTTCCGTATCTCCTTGCATATTTTACTCCTTGATAAAACTCGCGGTCTACGTCCCTCAAGCGTGTCACGCTCATGATGATTACGTAATCGTCGGTGCAGTACTTACTATACAAGGGTCAGAATGCTTGCATTTCTTATACTTTCTTCAGACTTTATACCTCTCTTATCCACTTGTCGTCGTGCATTCCATTCGTTTGAGCTGTTTGCGTAATTTTATCATGGGATTTAATTCACGTAGAAAAAAAAATACTTTGAAAAAAAAAAAGATGAAAAATTAATGATGTTAATTTGTAATAATGATGTTGATGATGTGTCATAAGATCAGTTCATTTTCTCGATTCACAGTAGCCTAGCTTTTGACGAGAAATAATCAACGGCCTCAAGCGAAAAACGGAAGTCGTAGGAAGCAGTCAATTGTATACCCGTTCTGTCCACTGACGCGAAAAAAGAAAGGGTAAAGAGGAGAAGACGAACCGTTTGACGGACGTAACATTTTAAAAATGTTTTATTTATAAACGTTTCGATATACGTTAGCAACTTTATCGCTGATTCTCATTTATGTTAGCTTGTTTATGTTGATAATTTTTGTTAAAATATCAGCTTTTTTTTGTGTACTAGATAAATTACAATCTTTGGTTCATTTTTACAATATTGTACTTTAATACCATGCAGTTTTACTACCGTGGGAAAGCTGAGGCTTAGAAAAGTTCCGAGAAAATTTTGGATTCTATACCTATTTGAGTTTCTGGGGAACATCAGGAGGTACCTAGAGCACAGGAGACCAACGCTGAATACGTAAGTACATATAAAGCTGCCATCTGAGCTATTATTTCTCTTTACTATATCCATAAAAATGAGCTAAATTATTCATAAAGTTTATGTAAAATAACTTATCTTGTAATGAAGTAATAGAAGGGAGAAGGGAATTTCATATAGGGGAATATATGTTAAAAATTTTTAGTGATTTTTAAAAATAAATTTATTGACCCTAAATACAAATTTCCATGGATGGAATGCATGGAGTTATCGGGTAGACTTTCATGTTTCTCTTTCTTTCCTCCCCCTCTCCCCTTATTATTGGTATTCAGCCCTTTTTCCTCTCATTCCCCGAAAGTCAGTGCCACATTCCGTAAAGGGCAATCGATCGTTCGCTTCGGTCCAAGTTACGACAAAAAACAAGCCAGCAATGATAGCGATCGTGAAGTAAATGGAAACAAAGTAAAGATGCTCTTTTTCCATTTTGCAATCAGTATTTTTATTAAATTATATTTGAGTAAATATTTGAAAGTTATCAATATTGTTTGTGTTACTTTTTATTTATTTAAAAAATAATTTAAAAATGTCATTTAATGGAAAAATAATAAACTTTTTCATTAAATGTCATTAATAAACATAAAGTTCAGAATTATGTAGAAAGTAATTGATAATAAGAAAATTTTTTTTATCAATATTATTCGAAATAAATATTTTTTTAATATCATTCAAGCAATAAATTTTCTAAATATCATTAAAAATTGCTGGATGAAAGTTTTCTGACTAGAAATTCCAGTCAGGGCATTCTTAAAAACAAATTGAAAGCAAACTTATATGGGATAATATATATCGTGTCCTGTAGGGATCTAACTAAAATTTCTACTTAGGTTATACGCTATTGCAATACATAAGATATTGAATTCTGAAACATTAAACAACATTCTGATGTTTAGAAATTCTTTAACAAATTTTTTGCAATAAATATTATTCAGTAATTCTAAGAAAAGTATTTGTAAAATACTTTTTGCATAGCGAAAATAATTTTATTTATTAGAAAGAAAAATTATCGTTGCTAATTTGATTATTTCTTTCTAATTAGAAAAATTTATTAGTTGATAAAAAAAGTTGTAGAACAGTTGGTAAAACAAAATAATTTATTTAAAAAAGTTAATGGAATATAATTTTTTTCTAACATCAAATAAATAAATGTAGTTTGATGTTATGTAAATAAAAGTAAAGGATACCACTTTCTAATTTTATATCATATAAATAAAATGAATAATATTAATAGTTGTATGCTATTCAAGTACTCTACTGATGATACGATTTCTGGCGCTATCTAAATTTATATATCCTGTATAAAAATTTTTTTTTGATAAAAAAAATGTTCATCTTTCCCAAGCCTTATTAATAATTTTTTTTTACAAAAATAATACTTATCATGAACATGCAACCATGGAGAGTTAATATGCAAAAGATAAACTATTTAATATTATAAAAAGCTTTTTATATTAGATACAAACGAATGTAATTTTTATTTACCTCTTTTTAAAAAATAATAAAGTAAATTTTTTTTTTTTAAAACAAGAAGTTAAATAATCATTTGCTTCTTATACTTGATAAAACATTAAGTGAATTACGAAGTAATTTTTAATCATTAAAACAATTTATCTGAGTTTATAAATTATTAAAAATTCTGAATTCGTCTGTACTCATAAAAAATTACATCTTCTTTTAACTTCTTCTCCAGTTGATCTCTGAGGAACTTGATTGATAATGTAATGTACAGCTTCGTAGATAATTTTTTTCTCGAACAAAACTTTAATTAATTAATGACAACATAATTAATAAGTTGAAAAATCGGTTATTATCACATTATTGACTCATCTTTGTGTTAGTGAATAAATATATAATGGAATGGTTATTAATTAATCAATCATATAAACAGAGAGTCTCATATCAATTTTGTTTTGATTGATATTAATATTTTTATTAAACTTGAATAAATACATTAATGATAAGAATATACTATATATTAAAGGTACTTTATGTACCTCACATACATTGAGATATGTTTGTTGGTCGATGATGCATAGTAAGGGTAACAAAAGAGGATGCGCAAACGTGTGCAGTCGATATGCATTTGGCGGTGAACACACATTCATTCTCCTTCAAAGCCCACAAGATTCTCTGTATGGGCTTATATATACAGAAATAGTCGCAGCGGAACAGCACCGGAAGTGAAGGAGTTCCGCCCAGGGCTCGAGGGTCACCGTCCTTTGAAATCTTAGATTCACGTAAAGTACAACACTATCCGATTCTATATACATTATACTACTTTATTCGTAATTATTTTAAGGTTTATAGAGGGACGAATTATATTATGGGAATTCAAGGCAGGTTTTTTTAACGGAAACGTTTGATATTTCTTTACAATGAACTGATGGACAAATATTTTAAATATGGATTTGGAATGAATTATATTTATTCAAAATACTCAACATTCATTTGTAATGGATAAAAATGTATTATTAATAAATTATTCAATGTATTCTTCATTATTACATTAAAAAAAAAACTGATCAATGGAAACTAATATTACATATACAAGTATTTTTTAAGAATGATAATA